TATATATATATATATGTATATTTGTAAATAAACCAGCACCGGACTCCTTCCTTACTCAGATCTGTCCAGTAAAAGAACTGGGGTATAACAGTGACTAACCCCACCACTTGCTACGGTGTACGACCATGCGTGACCAGTCTCCAGTAAACCTGGACCCTTGCAATGGTTCTGTCCTGTCCCCTGAGAGCAACTTTAAATAAAGTGAATATCAGGAGAGCATGTGGTGTAGCAAAAAGCAGTATAGTGATTCTAAGGGGACATTCTGAGTGGGCCTGAGTGTGTTTTTTTAATAGATAGCCTTTGCATGTATGAAAGAAGATGATTGAAGCAGTTATACATCTTACTACGGAAAACTGAGCTTGCTCACTTTATGTTATTACAATATAATTATAATTAGTGCTTTTTGGCTGTACCTTAACCAATGCAATGTAAATCATAGCTGCTACTATCAGAGCATATCTTTTAATATGTGTCAAAATGAGAGGCTCACCCGTGACTTCTCTTCTAGACGAGTCATCATTACGATGGTGCAGGTTCTCTGCTCCCACACCATTCTCCAGAAGTCACTTAGCGTCTCTGGCAGAGGCCCCTGTGTAGCGATGTAAGCATTCTGCTTCCTGTAGCCATCAATATAGTTGCTGTTGATGTAGTCGCTACCTGGAACTCCTACAGCAAGTCAAAGTTAGCAAGCAAATTAAAATGGGCGTCACTCGGAAAATAGGGTGGGCTTCCATACTTGAAAACACTAAAATAGGAAATCAGAAATAAAGGTTTGTTTTTATATACCATAGACCTGTTTAAGAGAAACATCAATTTCTCTTTAGGTTTGGGATAAATGATTTGAGAGGTCACTTCTCATGAAATGTCTGAGTATGCATCTCTCACCATCCACAGGTGTGAGGATGACCCTGGAGTGGTCGTAGGCGATAACATTTGCATAACGGTTCTTTGGCTTGTTAACCTCCAGGTTGGAGTGCTCCCAGGTGAACTGCTGTCCTGGATCAATAGACTGATGCACAGAGGAAGGGGAAATACAGAGGTGGGAGGGAGAGAGAACAGGTAGCTATTTATTACAATAGTGCCGCTCTTCTTTTCTCTGAGTTAAAGTTTTTCAGAGCTGAAAGTAATGAGTCCAGACCAGTTACTATGACATTAAAACTAATTCATCACTCCTGCTCCACCTGTCTAACCTGAAAATCCCTGAATAACCTTTAAGCCAGCTGCACACCAGAGTGTCTGGACCCTGGCCTTGGATGTAGCCCATATTTTCCCATCAGGGGCCTTGTTTATCAACGCATGTGTAGAACAAGTTCTAAATGTGCACATAGCGACTGTCTGTATAAACAAGAAAAGTGACATTTATCAAAGTGACTTCACGCAATGATGACAAATCTCACCTGTTCTATGCTTCTCATGTACATGTTTATTTACTGTATATACAGAAATGCCCCCAAAATGTTCAAGATGGAAAATCATAAAGACAGAAAAAAAGGAAACTAGAGTTACTGCTTCACAGTTGTATGCCTCTGCCAACCAGTCATATTTATGGATATGGGACAGAAGTGAGGTCACTCACTTTTGTCCACTAAAATCTAATCAGTTCATCCTTGAGTCCAAGTGGACAAATGGAAGGATAACTCGAAAACATAATGCTTCTGGCCGCGGCTATCACCGGCGCAGATACAAAAAGAAAATAAGTCAGTCAGGCATAACCATTCCTTATTTATCCGATGGAAAAAAGAAAAAGCCCTTATATCTTTAAATAAACAAATACAAAATAAGGTTTGAAGATCTGATAGTTAGCTTACACAGTCAGATCAAATCCCAGTGTCTTGGTCAAAAGATTTAACTAAGTTGTTGCCTTCACTGTCCAGCAGCAGCTCTGAGCCTCTAATTAATCATGGTTCTTATTAGGGTTGTCAGAGTTAACATGATAATAACAAGTTAACACAAATCCCTTTTAATGGCACAAACTGTTTCTGACACATGATTAACGCATGCATATTCTGTGATTATGACCCTTGGCCCACACTTTGCAAAATCAGGAAGTGACGCAGCAGCAATGTTGTGGATGGCAAATGGAAATAGATAAAGAAAAGGGTCAAGTTCAGTTTCAAAGCCCTGCCAGATGGTTCTCTCTTGCATTTACTGTCGATGTGAACTGAGTTACCACCGGAGTAGATATGAATGGGTATGAATTACAGGTATGAATTGCCTTTGAGAGCCACCACTGTAACAAAGATACACAATTTGTATGAAGGTGACAAAGCTAAAGTGGAGGCGGCTTTGGCACAGACAAACATGGTTTACTTTACTTAAGTAAAAGTAGTAATACATTGTGTTACAAGTAAAAGTCCTACATTAAAATGTTATTTAAATAAAAGTACAAAAGTATAAGCATCAAAACATACTTCAAGTACTTAAAGTAAAAGTACTCTTTATGCAGAATGGCACATTTCACATTCCTGTATATCCTATTATTGCAGGGGTCACCAACCTTTTTGAGACTGAGGGCTACGTCAAGGGAACTGAGTAGTATGAAGGGCTACCTGTTTGATACAAACTTCCTGAATAACAAAATTGCACTGATCACTTTTTAATAATAATAATAGTAATAATAACAATAATAGAAGTAGTAATAATAATACTATGAGAAGAGACTGTTCACATGTCAATATTAATTATTCCCCACAATTATTAACAATGATTTCCACAACAATAATGGTAGGAAACACATATATTCAAACACGCAACATTTATTTATGTTTACCTGTTCCAACATTTGAAAGTCAGGGGCCACACCTGCTATATTTTAGTACTAATTATCACTTCTCATATTTTAAACCAAGGAAATCATTAATCAAGTCACAAGTTATCAAGTCTTTTTTTTTTTTAACAATTATTCATATTTTTGTGCAACATTTTCAGTTTAATGTTGTTATGGTGTTTTCAGTGAAAACATGTTCTCTCTTTTCTTTGTCTGTAAATGTCTGTTAATGGGAAGCCTGGCACTGCATTCTGCTCACCAGTGTACTGTAATCTGGTGAATAATTTGACACTGCAACTCTGAGTGAGGCTTCCAAATGTGCATCAGTAAGGCGTGTTCTGTGTTTGTTCTTGATAAAGTTCATGTCAGAAAAAGCTGATTCACGGAGATAGGTTGAACCAAAAAGGCAGGCAACTTTCACACCACTGTACTTTTCTGTGTCCACAAGGCACCAAAGGTTTGGTGCAGACTGATGGGCTTTAAGGTGGAGGTCATTTTGTAATGTTAGGATTTCTATCTCTACCTGTCCAGCATCCAAGTTGAACAGAGCACTTAGTTGCTCAGCATTGCATGTCATGTCCACTTGCATGAAAGGATTTGTAAGGAATGACACACATGGCTCAAGTTGATCAAAGTCACAAAGCCTCTCAATTTTGCACATATCTCCTGCTGGTGAATGATGCAGTGGTAGTGTAAAAATTTTGGGAAACCAGGATCATCTTTGCATTGCGCAATGAAGCCTGCATGCCGGCCCGTCATGTCTGTTGTCACCGACACCAGCTTCTCTAATGGCACCTTTTTGTGCTTTTCACCGTGTTGTAGATGTCAGTTCCTCTCGTTGTTGTCTTCAGGGGCAGAAGTGTCAGCAGTTCTTCTTTTGTAGAGAAATCATTAAACACCATTCAGATGAATATCATCAGCTGAGCTGTGCTGGTGCTGTCAACCGACTCGTCACACTGGATGCTAAACCACCTGCACGTAATGAGATCTTGGTCCAGTTGCTCAGTTAAGTTCTCGGACATAGATGATATTCTTCTAGCCATCGTACTTGCTCCAAGTTGGACATTGGAGAGGGCAGAGATGACATCGGGACCATGCTTCTCATCTTTGAAGACTGTGTTTGCAACAATCATCATAGCTTCTTTAAAAACCTCCCCATCCGAAAAGGCTTTCTTGCTCTTTATCAAAAAGTTTGCAGCTCTAAACGAAGCTTCAGTTGCTTTTTGTGATTTTTCCACCTGCCTCGTGAAAAAAGACCATTGTTTGTCCAGAGCTGCCTTTAACCCACAGGCTTTTTCTTTCCTTAATGCACTGCCGGGTGGGTATTTAGCATTGTAGCTTTCGTGACATGTACTGAAGTGTCTCTCCACATTGTGCCGCTTTGCAGTCACAACAGTTGTCCCGCAAATGAGACACACACATTTTTCTTTGACTGAAGAACTCTTCCTCCCAATCACTGTGAAAATGGTATGTTCTTTTTCGCTTTGCTGCCATTTTTTGGGGGTAAATCACAACTAACTCCTGATCGTTGCTCCCTGTGTCAGGAAAGAGGTGTGTGGTGTTGACCTGCGCAACATGACCTTTGATTTCAGAAAAGGCCAGATTTTGTTATATACATAAATCATTTGTTTTAAAATTTTTGTAATAAATAATGTCATTTTAAAATCTACATTAATTCAAGCGTTTCTGATTCAAACAGTAAAGTAACAAAAAATATTTTAGGTGGAGCTTCATTGTGACCAGTGCTATTTTTAGAACATGCCTCGTGGGTGCCTCAAGTGGTCCTTGCGGGCGACCGTGTGCCCACGGGCACCGCATTGGTGGCCCCTGTATTATTGTATTATCACATTTAATGTTGCACGGGTCCTCTTTGTGGACTTCAGCTCAGCATTTACCATCACCATCCTGGATGTCCTCTGTTCTTAACTGACCCAGCTCACTGTGCCTGCCCACACCTGCCAGTGGTGTATACAAATGCGATTCTCAACATCTAGTTAGGTTTAAGGCACAAAAACAAAATGGTTAGGTTTAGGGAAAGCTTGTGGTTTTTGGTTAGAATAAATCCATTCTAAATGCTAGAACAACATTATAGTTTGGGTTAACATGACTAGCAGGAGACCTTTACATCATCATAATTACAGTTCATTGGGAATGAATTTGTCATGAACCCCAGATACTTACTGTTACTTTTATTTTGACAACGTTTCCTATCTCATGCTATCTCACCTGCCTCAGCTTTATTCTGGCCATTAACTCTGGTCACTTACACTTGTTGCTTATTGTCTCTGCCTTACCAGCCTTTATAAGGCGTGCTCAAGATGACCCAAATCTGCACAGAATTGATCACAAGCAATCAGCACACAATACATGCCAGTTAGTTTTCTGTCCAACTTGATCGGATGTCATGTCTATGTAGGCAACAACATTCGCACAGAATCAAGGCAGCTGCAGTTTTATGAGCCAGGTGCCATGGTTGTTTTCAGTGAATTGCAAGGGATCAGGGCATGATGGCAAACACCTGGCTCTCACCTGATCTGAGAGCTGACTGGTTGAGATCCAGGATCAACAATATCATGTTTTATAAAAATAAATAACTAAATAAATGTGTGGTTGATGGTGACGTTTACCAGTCAAAGAAGCCGAATGCTGTCAGGATAGTATCAGAGATAGTTCACACAGACTGCAGTCTGTGACAGTTCTGCTCTACAATATGAACATTATGAATTTAATTCTTAATAAGCCACACAAAAATCTTTTCTAAGTGGGATGTGAAGATTCTGCCCAAAGGACTAAAATTTGATGCAGATGGGGTTTTTCTTCCTGCTAGGCGTGTAAGTACTGCAGCTAGCTAACATGTACATATTGGCATCATTAGCAAGCTAACGTGAGCATTTCAACTTTGTACCTTTGTACTGAATTATTGTGTGGATGCTGTAAAGCATCCACACAATAATTCTATT